CTTCTGACACAAGCATCCAAACCAAACAACAAAAGATTTTAAAACATGTTACATTAAAATAGTCTTTAGTATTTGCTTAAAACTCCTTCAAAGTAACCATTTCTGACTTAAGTTATCCGGCTTCTAACAATTCAATGTAGTCACAAGTGCAAGGCCTCCAGCAGAATATTATAGGTCACAGTCGGCCAGCACATGAGTCTTTGGCTTCATCCAACGTGCAGCAGATCAAGGGCCTCGAACTAAAACAGTACTGACAGTGACCTCACTGAGACCCAGCAACTGCAACAGCCCTAACAAGGTATTAGCAGGCACCTCTGTATACCCTCCAACTCTCAGCCTGGGTCCAAAGAAATACAGCTGCGCAGAGTGTTCTTGAGGGCGGAGGGCAAACCTGAAAGCAAAGAGGTGCCCCTGGCTAAGCTCAGGGGTGGAGCTAGAGGGTCAGGAATTCAAAGCAACGTAGGGCCAAAGTTTACAAAGATTTTTTTTACTGGTATTTCCTTTCTCTAACACAGCATTTCAACATTTGTTCAACAAAGAAATTTCAATTTTAAAAAGATACCAGTGCATGCTTTCCCCATATTTATTTAATGAATACAAATATGGAGTGTGTGCCACGCCCCACCCCCACCCAAAAAAAAAAAACCCACAAAAAAAACTGAGCACTGTGAACTGCAATAAGGAGCCAATCTTGTTAATAAAATAAAAAATATAGTTAACCATAAACTTAAAACTCACACAACTTAAACAACCAATATTTTTTACTGTAGTTTGTAATTTTACCACATTGTACATTGCAATCTGTTTGAATTCATTGGGGTTTTTTTTTAAGTGAGATGGCTATTTCTACGTATTAACATGTTTGCTAGATAGCTAACATTCAACTGTAGGATAACCTGCTTTTTCATTTTTAATTGGCCAGTCACTATTCAAAAAGAATTCAACCTGCAATTACAATTATGTTTTAAATAATCAGAGGTGAGATATTTATAAAAATGAAAAAGTCAATCAATTCACCATTAAAAGAAAGCATAGCAATCTGCAAAGAGACTATTCAATAACACGGACCAAAAGAGTACGTAATTGGGCTAAATTTTTTCAGTAAACTGCCACTGTGACAAATGTTCTGTAGTTCTGTCCCCTGCAGCTGTGTTGACCCCAAACTGTAGTCTTAAATTCTGTATCAAATACAGGTAGTGTCACAAAGCAAATATAGCAACCGCATATCAGATTTTAATAGAATAAGGAGTAATTTTATATAAATCCCATATGAGGAACTGAACTGACATCCTGTAGCCACGGGCAAATCCCTGGATGCTTGAGCTCAGCAACAAAATCTACAGTATATATATACCTGTGTCCAGGTAGACAGACAAGATGCTCTTACACAAAGCAAAGTTTTACTCTTTTAAGTATATCTTACCAGCTGCATGATCTTCAAAATTCTGCACTGAATAGCTTTTTCTCTAGTCCTGGTTGGAATGAACCAAGCACAATACGCATGATTTCTTTTGAACTGTACACCTTATTCTTCTTTTAAATATCTGATCTCGATATTAACATATTTTGATAACGCTATTCAGTGGCTCTTAAACATTGCCCAGTGCTATATACAGATATAGTGCTGGTGGTGGCGTTAGTCAGTAACAGTAGCCGTAGTTCTTTTTCACTTGAGTAACCTAAACCAATTTCAATGATATTAAGGATCATCAAGCTGTCACAGAACCTGATGAAGGTAAGTTGGTTTTACAAAGAAATTGTATCTTGTTTGCACTTGTACAGTACAAACATCTAGCTTTAGATTTGGCAAATACACTTTGCAAATATAATATGCTAAAAATGTTTGATGTAAAAGTTTGATGGGAGTTGGTTTTTGCCTGGTTTTAGAAGGCATACCGTTGTGTTGCTACTCTTCTGATCATCCTTCTTTTAGCAGCAGCCTGTCTGCAAGTCAAGTTAAGGGGCAGTGTGCCATTTATGTATTTTCAATATTCCTGCATAACTTTTGCAGAGTTGCAGAAAGCGTTTCTGTCCATTGTGACATATAAGGCTTTATGAAGCTCAGTAGAGTAGAGATTTGTGACCTAGGACCCCTTAACTTACTGTAGAAGGGATCTATAATAACTGGAACTCCAAATAAGCAAAAGGAAAGAATTTGCTGACTTTTGAAGCAAGACAAAATAGTTTTCAAAGTGTGTTAACTGGTTCTATTTTAGATTTTTATATTTGTTAATGACTTACAGCATAATTTCTTATGTATGTAATTTTGAATATTGAAATGTATATAAACTATAGAAATATACACTTCCTACTCTAAAAGGTATGAGTTTAGTTTGTCCTCTAAGAAAGTGGTATAGCCGTGTGGTTTTGTGTGTGTATGCATGTGAAAGCGCGTATGGCGGTTGTCTCTGTGTGACTGTGGGCGTCTAGAGGAGAGAGAAGCCTCATCTGTTACCAACCCAGCCTGGCCGGCCCGCCGCATGAAGTAGAACGACAGGGTGTCACCGCCGACGACAGTGATGGATGCCCTAAATTCTGTAGGCAACTTGGGCAATTGGACGCATTAACAACAGGCACCTGCTTTCCCCCGTACAAATCTATTAAAAGATAACAGCAATGGCGGCTTCCACACTATTAGTAAATTATAGCTCTGTCTGAGTGTGAGGTAAGTAAGCCTCTTTTTCCCCACCTGCCCCCACCTACCTTCTTCTGCTATAGTTTCTAATTGGCAGTCTCACAGTGCCACCTAGTGGCAACAATTTATAATGTGAAGTAATGTTTGCAACGGAACAACAAAGTCAAAAGAGCAGACTAAGTTTGCCTAAAAATCTGATAATTTCACTGTCATGAAGATAATTTCACTCTCATTGGGTTCAGTACACTGTAAATAGCCATTTACTGTTTACAATTGGAAATGAATGAAAATAAAGATGTTTTTCCACACTGGCCAAATTTCTATCATTCCAAACTCTTTCATTAAAAATATTTTATTTTCACACTTGCAATCAGAACACAAATCACACACCACCAAACATGATGAACATATGGTACAAGTTTAACATGGCAACAGCCCTTAAGGTCAGTTTTGTTTATAGCTGTTCACTGACTGTTATAGTGACTGTAGTGCAACCTTAAATCAGTGAACAGTTCATCTTTGTGAGATAGAGTGTGCATGTGTACGCATGAGAGTGTGTATGTGTGTCAGGTTACACAAGCAAACTTGTTCTCCAGCTTTCTTCACGTTTTATGGATTTCTCTTGCAAACTAATTTTCCATAAACAAGCCTTTCTTTGGGCTGACTGGGCCAAATGGCCATTGATTTGGGACAATCTGGCCAATATAAAACCATTACGACCTACTCAACACCTCCTCTATCAAAACATTAACACGACACCATTATGACAAATATCAGGCTATAGCCAGGTACGACACATAAACGCGTGTCACATAAATTTGCTTTGGATAAATATTTCTGTGTCTGTGAGGAGGGTATGTGTTTGTGAGTTGGCCAAGAATAAAGGGAAGACATGACCAATAAATACTTTTACAGCAAGCAATTTGTCAGGATGTGTAAATGTCCCCAATTCCCAACAGCACTAGAGTAAAATTTACAGTCACTCTGGAAGTGACAATGCACAAAAAAGGACCACTTTTTACTCTCTCTCATCTCCCTCAGACCACTAAAACCTTCCCATAAATCTCCTCCGGTCCCTCCAGATGTCTCCTGTTGTCAGATATCATGCCTTGACAATGCCTTCCACCATCATTGTCTTGACAGAAATATGATATGTGAAACTGCAATGTCGCATCACTTAACATGATTTAGCCTAAGCTAGCCTGCACCATTTTAATCAATCAAAAATGTCACCTTTTTCCCTGTAATGACGGCAAAGGCAAAGGATCCCTGTGTTGGGGTGATCTATAAGACTTATCTAGGCTACTGATTTATGACCACTGCCAGCTAATGTACTAAAGGAGCCTACTCTCTTCCTGTCATCAGGTTTTCTATCAAATTGGCAAATAAGTAGGCCAGTATTCCCTCATGGGCAAGAAAGAAAAGACACTTTATATAGTATGTAAACTCTACAATTATGGCATTATACATGTTTGTAACCCATCCATACTGCACCATCAGGTAAAACTATTATTAGATGTCCTTAAAAAAACATGTCCTTCACATGCCAGACTCTAATTGTTGCTACTATTTCAATGAGTTTGCTTGCTTATTCATGCTTTGACTAAACTGTGGCCTTTGACTGTCATTGCTCATTGTTCTGTAAACATTCCAAAGTCTCAGTGGATACCTGAAGCTTTAAGACAAAGTAATCTGTCTTTTATACTTTTGAAACTTCTAAATACATGCCAGAGTAAAACAGTATATCACAAATTCAAAGATGCGCTGCAGACTTAAACATGGTAAATATCAGTAACAGCAGCAAAAATTAATGAGTCGTCCAAGTTAACCAGTTGTCTGATTATGCGTTTTTTTTAAAGTAAAAAATGGTATAAATGAGAGTATGCACCTTTTTCTTTTTTAAAGAACAGTAGCTGCAATACCTTTATATTCCTGTATGCATCATCTGCTGCACTGGGTCCTTGAGGTTCAGAGTGTCTTTTGGTTTGTTCTGCTAATTGCATTATTAACATATATCAATTTTGGCATTTGTAAACTAATTAAGAATAATATGAGATAAGAATAGCAATTTCTTGCGCAAATAATTTTTTACCAAACACAAACAAACAATATGCACACAAACAAAGATGGAGGAAGAAATAAAGTCCAGCTGGTGTTGCTAGAGATTGGTGCAAACATCAAACAAAAGAACCAAATAATATTGTAAATTTATTCTTCGAACACACCGACAAAAAAGGTAAAATATATTTAAGAAAAAATATTATTTTTATTATTTATCCTTTACCCATTGTTGTACTTGCACCACTCAAAATCTAGCAAGGCTTCCTGGATTTTATTTATTATACAAGTAGACTGGGAACGCTACCTGTAACCACAACAGAGTGACTGGATCCACATGCAAGCAGCTTTACACTGCCCAGCCCAGATGTTGCAAACTCTTTCAGAAGTGCCTCCTCTGGAGGAATGACCTCTGGCCTGCCGTGCCCAGTTTGTCCAAGCTCCCCACTTCCCCAGCAAAGAAGATCCATGTCCACCTCACACTGCATGTCCTGGGAAACAGACCAACAAAACTTAAACAAGTCAGCTTGGTACTTTTTTCCATTTATGACTTTACCAGTATTCCTGACACATTTTGTTTCTATTGCATGTAGGTTAAAATGAGAAAATGAGGTGTACACATAAGTAAACAATTTAAAATACTGTTATCCTTGGTGGGTTTGACATAGTGGCTCATAAACCAGTTTTCCATTTGTTACAGGCTCTAGTTAGTGTGACCCTCCAACACAAACAGAATAAAGCACTGCAAACACCAGCTGAAGTCCAAGACAACAATGGAGATGTCATTCACCCTGCCCCTGAAGAAGACTGTCCTTTGGGGGGGTAGTCGAATAATCTATGGGACTCCCACAATAGGACCCTGGCTTGTTAGTCAGCTGGCAGGGTAACACACGTTGGGTGAGTGCAAAGGTTAGTTGGATAGCAGTAACTTAAAGTAAGCTCACCAGATATACTCAGTCTTATCCATGATATCAGATTTATCTAGCCTCAGAACTCTAGTCAGAACTACAATAGGGATTCTGACCTTAACAAGTCTGTTTCTAGCAGCTTTTCAGCTCTTACATTTGAGACACACACACACACACACACACATATATATATATATATATATATATATGATCCATCACTAATAGTGTGTAAGAAAGAGGAAATATTTTAATAGCTGTTTGTAAGCACTGGTCTTCTAGTCAGCATTGTGCTTGCATAAAACTAATCAGAAGTTCTCAGCCTTATTTGTAATGAACTGTGGATCACCAATATGCTCCTAAACATGTTTGTTTACAGTCTGCCCTCTGTGCTAATTAGAATGTGACCCTGCACGCACACGAAAACACAAATGGAAGGTGGGTGTATGTGTACGCATACACATACATACAAACTCCCCACAGCAATATTAACAGCACAATTCCATCCGACTGATATTGGAATTTTTCGAAAGAGCAAACCAATAGATAACCTATTACAAAACTATAAGAGATCAATAGCTAATTTCTTTGCATTGATTACCACTTGGACATTTAACATGCGCCCTGTGGCCACAATGTGTGTTCCACAAGCTTAGATCCCCATTGGCTCTCATGAGTATTAAAATTATCGATTCAGACAGAGGACTAAAAATGTCAAGCTGTTCATTAATCTTAATAAAGACTGGACTTGACCAAGGCACCCTTTCTCCCAATGCAGGGATACAACCTATCCAACTAGGAGGACATGGCAAAGATTAATGAGCTTCTACTGTGGGATGTGATTTAAGTCTTTGCGATTAATATATCAATTCCAAAAGAACGAGTCTTTTATACCAGTGATTATTTTTACCCAGGGTGCACCTAAAGACAACATTTTAAAATTCATATCAACTGCTTAATAGAAGTTCTTTCTTGCAAAATTTCAATGAAACTTCACAAAACAAGCAGTAATGAAGTCTTTGTGTGCTACGAAGCAGCATCTGCCATTATGCTACAGATGGTCCTGTGCGGTCCATAATACACCATTTTTATCAGCACTGCCTGACAACTAGTTTCATCTCTCTCTCGTAGATGACTGTCAAAGCATTCGGGGCTGTCTTTAGCTTAATGAGGGCCCTAAGCAGGATATGATTTGCTCACTTTTTTCAGTTTTAATTACTTTAATATTTCTGCCACACTTACACTCATATGTTTCCTGTCTTGATTTGCTACATTCATATCCACTAATCAGAGAGGTATCACATTATTCTGAAGCAAAAGCACTTTGAAACTGGCTCTTTTGCATGCTCACATTAATATATCCTATTACTAAAAGACTAAAAGTGGTATTTTGATGGAGATTGTATTCTAAATATCGCAGGACTTTACAATTAAGATAAATCTAAGATCCTAATCCATACACAAAAATCTAGAAATCACAATGGCACAGAGATATACATTCTGCTAAATCACAGTGAGCATTTATTAAACATGTCCTCATTCCTTCCATTGTTCATGACGTAGAACTTACTTGGCTTTGGTTTTTCATGCAGGGCCTGCCCTTTTCTATGTTTCAAAGGTCAATCTTAGTTATCTGAATGAGCACTCCTGGACTTCAAGCCAATGTCATATAAAAGGGTTTCTGTCTTAAGTTTTACTTTTAATATAAATAAGCAATTCACACAGGTTCACACACATAGTCTCTTCTAAATTTTGGAGAGCTGTAAAATAGGTTCCGTTCTAAGGTTAATTTTGTTTATTAACCAGAAAACAAGAGTTGGATTCCATGTTGCTACAATCAAAATGCTGTATATTATGAAACAGTAAAAGTAGAAATGCTGGCAGTAACACGTAATTTGGTTGGTAACGACATGTCCAGCAACACCAAACACAAATGGAGAAAAAAAGGTGTAGCAGCACTCAGCAACTAGGAACTAACCTGTGGCACTTTTAAAGAGCTTTTCATTTTTTCCATCTTCATTTATCTCTCTTCCTTTTCAACTATTCTTTTTCTTTTGGTGGTCTCTGGCATTTCTCACATTGTTGTGATTGTCTGGTTGCTCTGACTTCATTTACCCCTCCTTCCTTCACTGTTTTGACAATATTGCCAGGGTAACAGTCTCCATGACATTTTCTGTTTACACTGTATCACCCGACTGAGAGTAATCGAAGGAAGGGACTTTTGGTGGTAATTTCAATATTACTAAATAACATTTCTAACTACCTGAAGCACAGTACAAATCCCACAGACAGCAGTGTGAAATCATGTCTTCATACCACACAGAGTTTGTGAAATACATCACTTGGGAGTCTTAAAAGGTTTCCCTTTTCTAAATAACTCTCAGATACAGCATGTATAAATAATTTATATTGGCCTACCTGAGTATCCTTGTCTCCATTTATAGTATCTGACTTTTGGCTACTTCCTGTTTTACTCTGAAGGTTAGTGTTTGTATCCTGTGTTAACTTTTACTTTCTTTCTCTGTCTTCTCCTAACGGTTGTCGAGAGTCTTAATTTCTTTTGCTTGTGCTCTGGTCTCTCCTGTTTTTGTTGTGTAGTTAGTGTATGTAGTAGTCCTGTCTTGCATTTATCCTTTGTAAACGAGTGTATGTTTCCCATGCCTTGTATTACTCCTTGAATTTCTGGATTAGTGCTTTTTCACTGTTTTGCATTCCTTCCTGAATTTAGGACCTCACTCCTAACTCAATATCTGAATGTTTTTACTCATTTTTTTTTAATCTTCATCAACCACAGAATAACCATCAGCTGTGCTTAAAACGCGAAACCAACATTATCAGGTGTTTCTCTTATATGCGTCAACATGAGATTTAGCCTGCTAACTAGACTGACAACACAAGTAGAGGTTATTTAACATTTCTGGACTTTGGATAATTCCTATTAGAAGAAATTAATACCAATAAGTCACACATGCTGTAGCCCTAATGCAACAGCATGTGAACAGCTCAGCTTAAAAAAAGAGTACCAGTGTGTCAAATCAGGATCACTATGAGAGTTAGATACTGACAGAACAGTTATGGAGCCAATGAAGGCAACCGTATTGGTGTTAACAGTAAAGTTTTACATCCATATAGCAGCCATCCCAGGTCTAGTCAGCTGGTTGAAGATTATGTGGGCAAAGAGAAAGCATGTCTAGTCATCCATTTATGGACAGTAACGGTGAGGAGGATTAGAGTTACTGTAGGTGGTCCAGCCTACATTCAGTCAGTCAACCAAGGGAAAACACTCTCTGACCAGGACAGACAGATTCTATGTTAATTAATGAACTGGGGAGATAACACTTAACATGATTTGTCAGTGAAAACTAGCTAAACATGGCTAACAGTTAATATTAAACATTGCATAATTAGTTACTATGACTCTGTTCAACAAAATAATAAGCTAAACAAAGGGCTGTGCTGCGATCACTATGAAGTGGTCTGGAAGTTCCTGAGACACAAGAAAGCACAGCCATAGATTTTTCAACAGACGCTTATTTAAAAAGAAAAACAAAAGGTGCCAAAGAGATATGAAAGTCTAAACATAAGTTCAAAATGAAAAAATATTTATCTAAATATAAATAATTTGGTGATAATCAGGCCAGACTCTTCACAGTTTTCCTTTCTTTGTACTAGGATGTGCATCAGACTTTTGCCTTCTATTCTCTTTTGGAAAGTGACATAAAAAGAATACTCTGACACACTTGTTTTTGCAATAATGATGCTCCTGTTTTGTATATAATAACAGAATTTTTTACAGTAGTTGTGCTTTTCTAACATTTCTCCAACTTCAACCTGCAGAAAGTTTAGTCTGCTTGTTTGTTTTTCAGTTTGTTTGCTTTGTTTGTTTCAGTGGAATTATTATGAGTTAGGAGTATGATATGAGTTGAGTTAAGTAAACACAATATAACCAGTTGTCAGAATGTATGCCAGCATCAGAGGATGAGCTAGCTTGTCTCCATCCTGGCAAAGAGAAAGGTTCACATGAGCATCGGTAACCTTTATTTATCTAGCGTCAAGCTGTAGCTGAGAAAAGTACTTCTATTGCTATCTGCCTGTCACAAGATAAACAGTGCTAACGTCTTAGCTTCATTGCCACAGTAATGTGCTACTGCTAGCTATAGTTGACATTAAGTGAACCATTTAGCTTTAACCAACATTAACTTGACATTTCTGTGTTCAGCAGGGAATGTCAATATGCTACGTTGAAAGAACGCACTTACCTAGTTGTTTTTGTTTTGTTTTTTTAAGTTCCAGTCCGATGTTTCCCTTCTTGGCATTTTGGTGACTCAGATTCCCATCATCCCACATTCCCAGAGCGGTTCTGAGCATGTCCATTGTTAGTCCGATTAATCGTAATCTGACCAGTTTAGTTTAGTTTTTGTTTTGTTTGTTTTGCTTTTTTTTTTTCTTTGCTATTAATGTAATTTGTTAGCATTTAGGGAATTAAGGAACAGGCTGCTTGCATTGTAGATATAACCTTCATAGAAAGTGGCTGTATGAAAAGGGTAAGTGCAGAAATTTGGATGCTTGAATTTACCTTGAGTATGTAGCCTATTTTGCTGTCCCTGGGGATAACATAAAACATGGTTACTATTACAGTTATTTATGAAGGCAATTTACTCAGTGTACAAGAATATAACAAATATCAATTTGGGACTGTATGTAATGCAGATTTTGCAGTGGAACAGTCGTCTCCCCCTCCCCCCACCCACCAAAAAAAAATAAAACTTTCTTGATGATATCATTTATATGATATAAATGATAAATGATATGGTTCTTCTTTTTCGGCTGCTCCCTTTAGGGGTTGTCACAGCAGATCATCTCCCCCTGTCACATACTCTTCCTAGC